AAGTTGCTGTTTTATTTCCTGGTTTTCGAATAATTGTTTAACATCTGTAAGATATTGTAAAGATTCGTCCGATAATTCTGAAATCAGATCTTTCAGTCTACAGAAATTGTCGCAATAAAATATTGAGGCTTCCAGCCAAGTGCCCCATCTTGTAATAACAGGTTGCGGTGGAAGAGGAGTGTTTGGTAATTTTTCTTTGTAGAACTGAATCCTCGTATGTGCTTTAAGAAATACTTTTTTCATGTTGGAAATTAAACTATTTACAAGCGGAAAATGTTTCCTAGTCTCTTCAGCAACCCTATTTAAACCATGAGCAAGACACGTAACATGTATCAAGTTCGGATAGAATATTTTCAAATGTTGGCCAGCCTTTAACATGTATGGTGCTGCATCTGACAAAATTAGCAAAAAATTATCTCCGGGAACAGGCGTAGGAAGAAAAAAATTTGATAGTTCCTCTTGAATAAATCTGGTCACTCATTTTTTCCATATCAATGGTATTAACATTATTTACAGCTAAATTTTCGCTCACACAAATCTGTGTGTGTCTTTATAATATTAAAAGGAAATGTGTACAAAAAAATCAAAAAGATGGCGGCCTTCATTTACAATGCTCTTCCACAAATTACATAATAAGTGCTCACTTAATATCAGTAACTCGCATTTTCCGCAACATTTACAATCTGATTTAAACTAAAACTTGACAATAGTGCTAATATTTTCTTAGTGTCACTAGACTGGGGATTTAGTAGATTTATGTTAATGTCCCCTAAAATTGGACCCCGTTATGCACCAAGGAATCAACCAACATTTACATTATTCGGAGAAAATTAAGAAAAACTTTTTAAATTTTCAACTGAAATATTTGTTAAACAAATATATTTATTTATCAGAAGTAACAAGTTTTTTTAATCGTTTATAATCAAACCAGTGTTTTTAACAATTTTAATAAACAAAACGCAACGCCTAGTATTGAAAAAAACGCGTGGTTCTCTATTGCCTGTCTACAATTTTGGCATTTTTGATTTTGAAAAGAACCAAGTTAATACAAGATCAAAATTTTTTGATAATACTCGTTATCATTAAGCTATAAAAAGACAGGTGGTTCACTAAATAAACAAAAAAATAATTTTTATTCTTTTTAAAACAATAAAAAAATAAAAATATAACTAAGAAAATAAGATTATAGTGATGTTGGGGGTGTCGAGTCTTACTTGAACAACTTAACCAGAACTTCTTTGATATGATTTTAAAGGAACTAAGAATATGATGCTAAAAGTTATATCATGGAACACATTAGTATAATATAAAAAACACTTGATTCTCTATTGTAATGTAATAAAAAAATAAACTCTTATGTTATAAAAGAGTAACGCTTTACAAAATAAACACATAGGTATCGGTAAACTACTAGTCGTTCAACTCAAAATCCAATTCGCCATTAAATCCATCTATATCCTCCTCTACAGACTAACTTCCTGTAAGGTTTTCATAAAAGTGGTGGTCTGATGAAGGGATTAGATGTAAATAGGATTTAATAACGTTTATTTTGGCTTCCGCACTGGCTTGCCGTTGAACCATAGAGGTTTTAAAAATTGACTAAAATTAGTTTCGTTATGTTTTCCTTTTTTATTTATTGTTATTTCTTTGTAATCATTGCCATTATAATCTGTTTTTTAAAAACTATATTTTTTATTTTTTCAAGTTTAATTTCTTAATTTTTAGCCAGTTTATTTTTTCATTATCACACGTTTTTTTTTCGATTAACTATTTCTTTTTCTAACTTTCGGTGCTTTTAAAATCATTTTTTTCCATTTTTATTAGATGGATTGGATTTCCTTTTCTACATATTCTCATTACATTAATATAATCCTCCGGAGAAAACAGCTTATTTTGAATTTTTAATGCGCACTCGACATCCCCAAAATCACTATCGTTGGGCAGTAAGTACTTGTCGAAGGTAAAACTAGAACTTTACTCTTTTCAGTTTCTTTACATAATGCGGTTATGCTTGAGTCGGAATGATTCGTTTCGTGCTGAAAACAAATACGCAATAAGGAACCAACCCAAATTTTATTAACCCTTGACGGATTGGGTGCCCGCAAATTACTTGAATAGTTGGGTGGTGTCTGACAGACCCAGTTTTTATTTTGCAGTTTACACTATTAAACAAGAAATAAAATTATTTAATACTTGCACAATCTTGTTTTATTTTATTTTTAACACAAATCAACTATTCTAAAAACATTACTAAAATAAACAACATTTTTAACAAAACACAAAAAAAATACAAAATGTACTTCTCTCACATTTAACCGAAAAAACATCTTAGTCTCTAGTTCCGTTTTGAATGGATTCTTCGTACATTGGTTGAAGATGATCTAAGCATAGCCATTTGTTACATTTTACACAAAAATATCGTGTTTTACGATTTGAGCAGTAGGCGCAATGACCCCGTTTATTTTCACGCGGTGGCGCGGGTTCTGCAGGTACTCCACTTAATTTGGGGCAATATTCCTAATTTCTTTTTGTAAATGAAGGTCTTTTGCTCTTATCAGCACGTTCTCTCTATCAAGGCTAACCCAATTGCTTTCAGAAACAATCTTCGCTCAGAAATTTTATCGGCCTCATTTGCATTACATTTATGTACTACGTGCGAGTTTATGCCTGCAATGTTTAGTAAATTATAAAAAATTACCATAGGCCACCTTCGCGTGTTTCTGGTTACGTTATATGCTGCACATTTCTGATCGACTGAGTCAACACCTGATTTTGTAATGTTATAAAATGTAATAATATTCGGCTTACATGTATCTCCAGAATCTTCGTCTATTGTGTCGTCATAGTGAAAAGACGATAACATCGTCACTACTTTTTTTTTTGGTATGTATGATGCCAAAGTCATGAATTTGGAGAACGCAAACATAGAGGAGTACGGTGGCCTGTTGGGATCAAGAATTTCTTTTGGAATCTCCCTTTTATTTTTGCGAATTATATTCGCAAAAATGTAAAAGGGAGTAAAGTAGGACAATTGCATAATTGTAATTTTGTGCAGCTCTAGCATGCGTTTTATGCGCCGCTCTAGCATGCTTGTGTATCCAAGGATGGCTCAAGATATTTGAGCATAAAGTTTTATAACCTGGTACTAGCTAGAATTAAGGTTCTTAATTTTAATCAGTACAAAAAAGAAATCAAAAACTACCTTATAATGAATGCATTTTTTTCTTTTGAGGAGTACTTCAGTGCCAGCTTTAGTCTGTAATTTCATTTGTTTTGTCTATGTTAGTTTGTGTGTCGTATCTGTTGTTATTTGTGTATCATATTTGTTTTAATCTTAACGTTTTAATGGTTGTTCTATTGTATAAATTTTATTCTATCAAATTTGTATATTAATTATTTTGCATTGTAAAAACAAAACAAAAAAAACTGTATAAAGTAGGCGTTTAATAGTCATTCAATGTTTTTATGTTTTCTGTGTTCCTATTTTTATGTGTAAAGTTGCCTTTAGTTATTGTACGTGTGGGACAACCTTAAGAGTCTGTCTGTCAAAAAGACGAAAGAAGATGGCGAAACAATAAAGTTGTCAGTAATACGTCCGCTGTTTTAATAAAAGTTTTTAATTGCAATAGTAATACCTCTGAGTAATACTATCAACAAAGAAAAAGTTCAATTTTCAACATATTGGTCCTTCGAGCCGGATAGCTGGTGAAGTTTTCAATTATTTCAAAGATTCAAAGAAAATCCATACTTTTCCGATCAATTTCTATCGTTCAAGGTCGAAGCCGGACGAGTCCAATTGCGCAAGACGATCCAGAATAGGGAGTTGCGTAGTAAAAAGCGGCGGAAGAGTGGACTGGTCCAACTGTATCGAAAAGGGAGGCCACATCGACGAAAGCAGAGAAAGATACGTTTTGAGATTGCGCCCGGATTGGTAAAACTACGACGCAAATTGCCGGTGAGTCCGTTCCTATTTACCTTTATTATCCTTTTCTTTCAACGGGAAGATAGGTTTGCTCCAAATTCTTATTAATAGGTTTTAATATCAAAATGCAAAACGAGGAGACAAGGCAATTCGGATACGGTGACATTAAAAACATTCAAAGATTTTTTACGTTCAAGAGCCGATTTCTTAGAAACAGTTTTAATGACCAAAGAGGTCAAGATACAATCTCATTCATATCAAATTTCAACAAAGTTCAAAACTGAATGCATTTTTTGCAAGGGTTCAAATCATTATATACAAAATTGCAATGAGTTTTTAAAGCTTTCAAGTCAAGATCGTCTTAATCAACTTAAGAATCGAAAATTATGCTTAAATTGTTTACGCGGTTTTCATACGATTAACAATTGCCTAGCAGGACATTGCAAAAAATGTACTCAAAAGCATAATACAATTCTTCATAACGACTTTCAAGTAAATTCAAATCCAGAGCGCCCAACAACTTCATCAAATAACGCATTTTCTGCAACTTCAAGCATTGCTTCGGATAATATTCTATTATCTACAGCACTAGTTCAAATTAAAAATTCAAAGGGACATTTTCAAACATGCAGAGTTTTATTAGATTCTGGATCCCAATTAAATTTTACTACAGAAGATACATGTAAGAGATTAGGTCTAAAGACATTTCCAGTAAGTATTTCTGTTTCGGGTATCGTTCAAACTCCTTTTCAAATCAAACAGCGATGCAATATTACTTTAGTGTCCATGCATAACTCATTCAAAGCTGATATTTCATGTTTACTTCTACCTACAATTAATAAAGGTTTACCATTCCAGTCATTCGACATTTCAAATTTAAATATTTCTTCCAATGTGAGGTTAGCTGATCCTGGTTTATCGATTTCTTCAAAGATTGATATTCTAACTGGTGCTGAATGGTTCTACAATTTATTATGCATTGGTCAGTTCCGCTTAGGACCTCATTACTACGTTACAAAAAACTGTTCTATGGGTAGTCTCTGGAAAATTATACAATGATCCTATTGCTGCGCAATCCATGTGCAATTTTAGTACAAGTTCAAACGACGAAATCTATTCTTTATTGAAAAGGTTCTGGGAAGTCGAGGAAACTGTTCCACCTGGTTCAAATGTGAAATTCTCCTCAGATGAACAGCTTTGCGAGGACATATTTTCTAAAACAACCGAGCGAAAAGACGACGGTAAATTTATTGTTCATATTCCCTTAAAATGCGATCCTATTATTCTAGGTGATTCTCGTGAAATTGCTACCAAAAGATTCTATTCTTTGGAGAAGAAGTTGAATTGTGAACCAAAGTTAAAGGAAGAATATGCAGCATTTATGAACGAATATATTCAACTTGGTCATATGCGAGAAATATCTAAAATAGACGAACATTCTAATTCTGGTTTTCTGCCACATCATGCGGTTGTTAACGAAAATAATCCAACTACTAAGCTTAGGGTTGTGTTCGATGGCTCGGCACAAACTGATAATGGAACTTCCTTTAATAGTTTGCAGCTAGTTGGTCCTACCATTCAGGATAATCTTTTTTCCATTTTATTAAGATTCCGACAAGGGCCTATTGTCATCTGTGCGGATATTGTTAAAATGTATCGGCAGATAGAGATTCATAGATCATAAAAACATCTTCAAAATATTCTATGGCGTTTCGATTCTTCAGAGGAATTAAAAACTTTCGAATTACAAACAGTAACTTACGGTACTGCATCAGCTCCTTGGTTAGCTACAAGATGTTTAAAGCAATTGGCCATAGATTATTCCAAAATATTCCCACGATCATCTAAATTCGTGGCATCCAGTTTCTATATGGATGATTTGTTGATAAGTTGCAATTCAGAAAGTGAGGCTTTAACAATATGTGAGGAAATTTCAAAAATACTTTCTTCAGGCTGTTTTCAACTTCAAAAATGGGCAACTAATAGTACCAAAATTCTTCAGCACATTCAAAATCCTTCTACCATTCTTAAAATTGGCAAGGATCAACGAACCAAGATTCTAGGTTCGTATTGGTCTTATGAAGATGATCAGCTAATGTAAACTATTGTTGATTTTATCAGTTTAAATAAGTTTACCAAGCGTACTATAATGTCTGATATAGCTCAGATTTTTGACCCCTTGGGACTCTTGGGCCCATGTATCATTTTAGGAAAAATTCTTCTTCAATCACTTTGGTCCTTAAAGCTTGACTGGGATGAGTCTCTTCCAGCTACAATAGACAATCAATGGCGGCAATTACGGCAAGAGCTACCAGTACTTAACATTTTAAAAATACCCAGATTTGTTTCAAATACGTCAATCGTTAAGTTGGAGTTACACGGATTTGCCGATGCCTCTTTACAAGCATATGGCGCATGTCTATACATTCGTAGTCTATCTTCCAGCGGAGAGATTCAGGTAAGGCTTTTGACAGCTAAAAGCAGGGTTAGTCCTCTAAAATCGTTAACAATTCCAAGATTAGAACTGTGCGGTGCTCTCTTGTTAGCTCAGCTAGTTGATCGAGTGAAAAATTCAATGACTTTTACTTTTGATGATATATTTCTTTGGTGCGATTCCACTGTCTCTCTTGCCTGGATTCGTACTTCTCCAAGTACTTTGCAAGTCTTTGTTCAAAACAGAGTCGCTCAAATACAAAGGTTAATACAACCTAACCAATGGCATCATGTTCGAACCGCCGACAATCCTGCAGACTTTCTTTCCCGAGGTATTTTGCCTAGCGCTCTTTTGGATTGTACTGTGTGGTGGAATGGCCTACAATGGCTTAGCCAACCTAAAGATCAATGGCCCTATTCTGCAGCTACTTTTGAAGGAGAACTCCCAGAAGTTAGGAAACAAAAAATAATTCTCGCAGCTTTTCAAACTTCAAATTGGATTAATATTAATAAATTTTCAAACTTAATGAAACTTCAACGGGTGGTCGCTTATTGTCTTAGATTCATATACAATTGTCGAAATCCCACTGACAAGCAATTTAAACCTTTTAAGGCAAAGGATTTATCTGATACTCCTAGATACCTTATTACGATTTCTCAAAAGGATGATTTTGCAAAAGAAATTCAAACGTTAGAAAGGAGTCATGCGTTGCCAAGGCATTCTAAGCTTCTTTCTCTAAATCCTTTTCTAGACGATGAGGGTATTTTACGTGTTGGTGGACGTCTTAGTCAATCAAATTTTAGTTTTGATGTCAAACATCCAATCCTTCTTTCATCCAAGCACCATCTTACAAAATTGCTTTTTAGACACGAGCATCTAAGATTATTCCATGCTGGACAACAACAACTGCTTTATTCAATTCGTCAACGTTATTGGCCACTGGCTGGTCGCAATTTAGCTAAACAAACTGTTCATTCCTGCATAAAATGCTACCGCTGCAAACCACTGCAACCTTCTCCAATCATGGGTAATCTTCCAAAAGCGCGTGTTACTCCTGCTCCACCCTTTTATAATACTGGCATAGACTACCCAGGTCCAGTATATTTGAGTTCAAAAAAGGGAAGAGGAGCCTAGGTTTCTAAAGCGTATATTGCGCTATTTGTGTGCTTTGTGACCAAAGCCACTCATTTAGAATTGGTGAGTGACTTATCAAAGGATGCCTTCATTGCTGCCTTCCGCAGGTTTGTAGCACGCCATGGTAAGCCAAGTAATGTTTATTCCGACAACGGAACAAATTTTGTAGGAGCCAATTCAGAGTTACGAGAATTATCTCAATTTTTAAAATCGCAAGAACATTCTTTACAAGATAGTATATCTAATATTGGCGTAAATTGGCACTTCATACCCGCATTCTCACCTCACTTGGGAAGCCGGTGTTAAGGTATCTAAAAGACACTTGACTCGAATAATCGGTAGCCTAAAACTTACTTTTGAAGAGTATTGCACTATATTGGCAGAGGTTGAAGCAATCCTAAACTCTCATCCAATCACTCCCATGTCCTCAGACCCCAATGACCTATCCGCTTTAACCCCTTCTCATTTCCTTATCGTACAACCGGCAACATCACTTCCCGATCCAGACCTTAGAGATATTTCAACGTCACGCCTTTCAAGATACCAGCTGATGCAGCAGTGCCAACAACACTTTTGGTCCCGCTGGACTCGTGAGTTTCTTAGCGAGCTTCAGTTACGCACCAAATGGAAAACTCAGCATGCAACACTTCAAGTTGGGTCTCTTGTTGTTCTCAAAGATGACCACTCTCATCAACTTCAATGGAAACTCGGTAGAATCCTCTTACTTCATCCAGGATCAGACGGCATCGCTCGAGTAGCTACTATCAAGACATCAAGTGGAACTGTGAAACGGAGTTTTGCCAAGTTTTGTGTATTGCCGATTGAGGTTGAAAGCTGACTCTTTCAAGGCCGGGGGCATGTTTAATAGTCATTCAATGTTTTTATTGTTTTCTGTTTTCCTATTTTTATGTGTAAAGTTGCCTTTAGTTATTGTACGTGTGGGACGACCTTAAGAGTCTGTCTGTCAAAAAAGACGAAAGAAGATGGCGAAACAATAAAGTTGTCAGTAATACGTCCGCTGTTTTAATAAAAGTTTTTAATTGCAATAGTAATACCTCTGAGTAATACTATCAACAAAGAAAAAGTTCAATTTTCAAAAGTAGGAAAAACAATTTTAACTCTTACACCTGATACATAATTCTTATCAATTTTTATCATTTTATAAATATTTTTTGACTTGTAAAAACTTTTCTTGTATGCTATTACTAATAAATAAACAAAACTAAACTATATATGGTTGTAAAAATAATATATATTCAAACATAAATGAAACGAAACTCAACTGTGAAACTTATATTTATGCATAATGAAAAAGGTAATAAGTGGTGAACATTATTTTTAGAAACTAACTAACACTACTAATTAACTAAATAACGAAATACCAAGTCTAAGATCAGGCTCCAGGATTGCTACGTTTATCATGTAGTTAAACAAAATTTAATTTTTACATATATTTATGAATAGGGGAATACACTTAAGAAATTTGTATAAGTGCAAATCTAAAGTATGTATTAGGATGTATTTCATAACAATATTTTAACTTCTAGAGGAGGGCTCAAAAGTGTGAATGCATTGGGATGATTTTTTTAACTGGAACGCCCTGTTGTTATTTCTTTGCCAGATGGAGAATTAAAGCTATTTCTATTTAAAGCATTTTAGAATTTTTAGCGGTTTCCCTATTCATACACATATGTAAAAATTAGATTTTGATTAACTACATGATGAGCGTAGTAATCCTGCAGCTGGATCCTGTACTATAAAATAAATGACATTCTAGTTTTCATTTTAAAAAATAATTAAAAATTAAATAGTAATAAATATTACATTCTACAGTATGTTCCCGGATTGTCTTTAAAAGAAGAAACA